ATTTATGTAATTTTAAAAATCGTAAACAGACCTATGATTTTCTAAATTGGTTGACTACTGGACGTTGTTAAGTTACAAGAAAAAGGGGGGAAGGTGGGTGTAATGTGAGATATTACGGCCGCGCCATAGCTCAAGCAGTTAGTGGCTGGCTTCCCACTGCGGCGGCCCACGTTCGATCCCGGGACTGGTCAAGTGGGATTTGTGGTGGATAAAGTGGCGCTAGGGCGGGTTTTCTCCGAGTACTTCGGTTTCCCCTACCAATCTTCATTTCACCAAATTCTTCATCATCATAATCACCCGGGGCAGGCTACAATAGGCCAATCAGTGGCCGCCGTGCCCAGTAGACCCAGTTGGACTCCACCTTCCACTAAGTGAATTTAAAAAAAAAAGTGAGATATTTAAAATAGAAGTTGTCCTTGAACATTTTCCCTGAGAAGTTGTTCCAATAATTCGGAATTATTAGTTGCAATTTATTTCTAATTTCATGTGAAAAGACAATGTGTATATTTCCTCACGTTCAATTTCTTCGTTCTTAACCGTTTATAAAATGAACGCCTGTCATGATTTGTGTTCATTTCGAATTCAATTTCCTGATATTTTAACGTCAAAACAAGGAAATTTCGCCCAACGTGTGGTTCACGAAACGACACAAAAATATCCATGGTTTAGTATTGTTACTAATCATGCAACACTGTTGGGTCGAACGAACTCAACGGGCAGCTGACTGGGTGATTCATCTACTTCTGCTTGGACGGTTAATGCGTTCATACAGGCATTTTCATTGTTCATTCTAAGAATCTGTCGGCGCCTAGGAAAAACAGCAATGCATGGCAGGATGACGGATGAACTGGAATGGATTTGGAAGGATACAGTCGTTACCCGATCGACGGCTGTCTATCTACGGCTCTACAGTCCTTCTTCGACCTTGGCTGATTTTCAGTTACTTAATCCTACATACAGTCGGTAGCACTCCTTGGAAGGGGATCAGCATTTCGCAAGGCCGCTACTTACACCCAGAGCAACATTAACACAGAATAAACGTACATAGATTTCAATATGAATGTCCTGATTTTAGGACATGTTGAACAAAACGTTTGCATTTTTACTCTTACGTCACTGATGTGTTCGTTATATATGATCCCAGCTGAGCAACTACCAGCTCCTTGACACATGCAACTTGATGTTTCCACATTGTAATTTGAAGGTTTCAATCAGCCGGTATGCTAGCCGTTTGTACTCCCCGCTGTTGCGACAATCTAACTTCGCCCCCACTACGACCACCGTACATTACTTTATCACCATTCCTGCTGTCTTGGAAATGTCCCCGGCGGTGATTACCACCCATATCGCTGGATGATCACACGATCAGGCATACTATTTTGGCCAACTGTACGTCCAGACATAATACGCATACATGCAAATTCCAGAACAAAATGGCACATTTATTTGTTTAACAATACTTTCAATAGCTCGGGGTGCACTGCAGGAATTTGATGCATTCACTACGTCCTAGGATGTGCTGTCTTGTAGTCCAATAGATGTTCCGACGTTTCGGAAGCAAAATCTTCCCCCTTCTTCAATGTTGAACAGTAAGTCAAGCTAAGGTTCAGGAAGAAGAAAGCAACTCTGGTTGCTATCACTTCTTGCTGGTTATTTGCTTGGCTGAATCCTCTGTCTCATGTTCCTCCGAAATGTCGTTGAATTTCTACAAGATTAAACGGCGTGCAATTTCAGAACTAAGCTTCGATGGTTGGACGGATCGGAGAGGGTGATGAAGGAAGTGCCCATGGCCTAATTTTAAGGTACTTGCGGGAGTGTGATTGACGTAACTGAGTAAAACAATGGAAAACCTCGGCCGAGATTCAAACCGAGTTTATCCGGAATACAAGTCAAACACATCACCGCTTGAACGGACTTGCTAGGTTCATGTGTGATAATGTACATATGCATACGGAGCTATCAGATGCATGTGACAAGGAGTGGGTCACAGAGCCAGTCTAGATGGTGTCCAGAGGATATAAATCACTTCTCCTTTATACACCGCGGCGCTGCTAGAGCCCAGTTTTAATGGGAGTAAGAAGCAGAGACAATCAGGCTTAAAATATGGTGATAAGCCCAAAGGAGGGGCTCGACACAGGGACAGTCAGTTTAAAGTGATGTGGAGGCATTCAGTCGCTTGGCTTCCGGTACAATGCACCATGCTTTTCATATTTAAACACATTGAAACTTTAAAGAGAGGAGATTGAACTCGGCTAATGCTTGCTACCATTCAGTCCAGAACCTTTTGTCTTCTCGTCTGTTGTCTAAGAACATAAAAAAAATATGCAAAACTATAATTTTGCCTGTGGTTCTGTGTGGGTGTGAAACTTGGTCTCTGACATTAAAGGAGGAACATAGACTGAGGATGTTTGAGAACAGGGTGTTGAGGAGAATATTTGGACCGAAGAGAGATGAAGTGACAGGAGGTTGGAGAAAACTGCATAATGAGGAGCTTCATAACTTGTACTCTTCTCAAAGTATTAGAATGATCAAGTCAAGGAGGTTGAGATGGACAGGGCACGTAGCACGAATGGGGAGATGATGAATGCATGTAGGATTTTGGTCGGAAAGCCGGACAGAAAGAGACCACTATTAAGACCAAGACACAGGTGGGATGATAATAGAGAAATAGCATGGAGTGGTATGGACTGGATTGATCTGGCTCAGGATAAGGACCACTTGCGAGCTGTTATGGATACGGTAATGAACCTTTTGGTTCCATAATATTGTAACGTGGATGATCAGAGCGTTGCTAGTTACCGGACCGGTAAACACACGCGATACACGCTCGTAACAATGGAACAACGAGGTTACGCAACCCGCTTCTAGGCAACGGTTCAGTAAAAATTTCCGCACAATGACGTCACACTGCCACATTAACATCACGTGACTTGTTTCTATGGTCGATTCGGAGGCTATATAACGAGATTCCAGGAATAAGTAAGGCACTGTTTCAGAGTATGTCAGAGTGTTTAAGTGTCTGAGTGTTCTCGATGGAAGATATCCAGAGAAATTTCGTCGTGTGAAGACTTGGCCTGTGATTAGAAGACTGTATTAATGGGTAATACTTGGAGCGATTTGCCGCGCTAGTTTCTGTGTTGAGATCCATTAACAGGAGAGGACTAGTGTGCGTGTGTGTGTGTGTGTAACAGTGAATTTTGAAGTGTGCAAATCAGATTTAGCGCTGGATTTGAGTGTGGTTAAGAGAGGGAATGTAACCAAGGTGCTAATAAATCCAATCATCCGAACTAGAACCCGTCATTTACGTCACGCGTACCACCCTACACGTGACAATATAATTGGAAGTTCTTGAGTAGCTGAGCACCTGGAGACTTCTCAAGAAGGGTTCGGTTCCATGGAGTTAATACAAGTATGAGTCAGCATGTTAAAATAATCATAAACACGGTAATGACTGTATACGTCATCAGTGGCTACGGACGAAGGAATATAGAGAACTGTGCGCAAGTCGATAGCGTCAGAGGAGAGAGGGTAACAATCGATCCTGCTTCGATTTTCTACCTCGACTAAGAGGCACCAGGAGCCACACCCAACGTGAACTCTCATAATCCTTCCGAAATATTCTCAAGACGGTCGGAAGTCTTATTCATGAAATCACAGCAAAGGACTGACACGATTACAACTTTCTAAAAAAATTATTCACAAATCATACAAATGTCTTCATTGTTTTCACTTCATCCACGTGACGGAAAGAATACATTTAATTGTATAAATATGGTTACTGCATGACGACTACTAAGTTCAACCGGGCCCGCGCCATAGTTAAAGCTGTTAGTCGCTGGCTTCCCATCGCGGCGTCCCGGGTTCGATTCCGGGGTCTCGTTAAGTTGGATTTGTGGAGGGCAAAGTGGCGCTGGGGAGGGTTTTCTCCGAGTACTTCGGTTTCCCTTGCCAATCTTCATTCCACCAAATTCTCCGTCATCATAATCACCCGGGGCAGGCTACAATAGGCCAATCAGTGGCCGCCGTGCCGAATGAAGCCAGTTGGACTCCAGCCCGCACTATGCGAATTGAAAACATAAAAAAAAAGGTTCAACCGGACAACGATTTAGTATTTTGTTTTCACGTCTTCTACACAACACTTCAACTGATGCTCGGGTCTGTGTGATTCTGCTTAGAATGTTCTGGTGTAAGTGTAATCTTATTACTACTACGCTGGTACAATTTGCTTCGGCCAGCATGAGACCATCATCAGGTAAGGCGATGCAGTGCGCAAGCTGCTAAAGCGTTCAAATTCTTAACGTCCATGTATTTATCGTCCGTCAATGTTGCAACACTTGTTTATTCACTACTTAATCTTAATCTTAGTTTAACATTTTATACACTTTGACACAACATGTTTCGGCCCCAAACGGCCATCTTCAGGTGTCTTGATATGTTACAAATACTTTATTAAATTATGTTGAAACTGCTGCACTGTGATATCCCGTGTTAATTCTCTTTTCAAGGTAAAACAAGATAAAATCCATTAAAATTTCTATTTCACGTAACAAGGGGTGACGCCCTTTATTCATAAAATGATGCCTGTCCCAGGCGTTTTGTTTCGGCAGCTTGACCTTCAAGCAATGGACGTCACCCCTTGTTACGTGAAATAGAAATTTTAATGGATTTTATCTTGTTTTACCTTGAAAAGAGAATTAACACGGGATATCACAGTGCAGCAGTTTCAACATAATTTAATAAAATATTTGTAACATATCAAGACACCTGAAGATGGCCGTTTGGGGCCGAAACATGTTGTGTCAAAGTGTATAAAATGTTAAACTAAGATTAAGATTAAGTAGTGAATAAACAAGTGTTGCAACATTGACGGACGATAAATACATGGATGTTAAGTTAAACAATTACAACAGGATGCTGAAATACAGAATTAAAATTCTTAGTCCAGATAATGGGCTAAAACAAGGCTGAAATCTAAATTAAATTGAAATTAAATATTTTACAATTATATTTTGTTCCTTCTTGTTTATCGGAAGCCATGAGAGCTCAGTCGGTGGGATACTGGCTGGACAACTGGGGTTCGATTCCCGACAGTGGAAGAGATACTTCTCTTTCCTGCAGCGACTAGACCGAATATGAGGCCCACCCAGCCTCTCATCCATTGGGTACAGGAGGTTTCTTCTCCGGTTGTAAAGCGGCAGGAACGTGAAGCTGAACACTCACCTCCATTACTGCCGAGGTCAAGAATGATAGAGCTAGTATTTTTAACTGTGGCATCATCTATGTCCGAATATAGAGACCCACAGTTTTTGGAAGATCTGTAAAATTACTGTTGAACAGCGTAATTGTTGAAGAATGCCGCATTCTGGGATGTGGCGCCGTTTAGATCTTGTACGAACCGACGTTTCGGATAAAAGTATCTCCTCCATCTTCAGGGTAGAAAAATCCGCTATCGAGGACGTGGATTTTTCTACCCTGAAAATGGAGGAGACACATTTATCCGAAACGTCGGTTCACACAAGATCTACACGGCACCATATCCCAGAAGACGGCATTCTTCATATTCACCGCTGTGAAAATCTCAAATGTTACGACGTAAATATTAGTCTGCAAGCAAGTTTTCTGGTTGCCAACCATCCCCCCTTTACTTGGAGAAATCCTTATGCAACGGTCATAATTATGAGTATAATAGCGAATTTATGATATTAAGATAAATGATGATATTAAATTAGCCGTACACATAATATACAAATATGGAAACAAAATTATATTCACTTATTCTTCCAGAAAACCATAAACTGTGTGGCAGAAATAATAATAATATGGAATTAAAATCAAAACTCAAGGAACCTCGAAAGAATCATTTCGCACAAAACTGACGGTTAAACGTAATTCGTGTGACATCCAGAATTACTGGATTTTTTTTATTTTGTCCATCATCCGGTATTCTAAAGGACACAACGTTTCGGAAACAGGATCTGTTTCCGTCCTCAGGTGAGTATGGAGCAATTTTCTTCGTTGCATCCCTCAGAAAGAGCTAACCTCAATCACAGATCCAATTTACGAAACGGTGTGCTCTTCAGAATGCCTTACGACGGAAAAATCTGAAGAAGAAAAAAAAAAAGTAATTGTGAGTGCTACACACCATGGTCAGAACCTTCCAGAATCCAGTAAAACCCGGAATATCATATTAACGGAACGAAAATAAAGAGTTTAAGTGAATCGGCACAGAACGCAAGTGCCTACGGTTAAAATGCCACTATTTTAAAGGTTTAAAAATATAATTCTTTTTACATATTATGAGAAAATATTATATTTTTAGATTATTATCGAACCCTACACACGATTTATTGGAGCAGCTGTTGTTATGATTTTGTAACAATTCTGTCAGCAAAAGAGACATTTGGAAGATCTATGAATAAGTGAGAGGATAATACTAAAATGGATATTAAAAGAATAATGAGGTTGGTTTCATCTGACTGAGAATATGGATCAGTAGTGGGCTCTTGTGAATACTAGCAATTTCTTGAGTAAGTTACATACTTAGATAGTCTGTTACTAATACATCATTGACGGCTGATAAATCGGCAGTTGATAGAATAATGTACTTGGGCCTCCAAGTTACCCGTTAATGTGACCGACATCAGACCTTTCTATACTGGGTCTCTTAATGATATAAATGGGCTATTTGTAATGTAAATTCCTGTCTAAAAATCGAGATTAACGGCCGTGGGATCTGTTGCGCTGACCACGCGACACCCTCTTACCCGCTAAAGTTGGCACCAACTTCGCCGACAAGCTGCGGTCGCTCGGTCGGTATAGTTCGCTTGTGGACTACAAGCCACTGAGCTTTTTTATTTGTAATGTAAATATTGGAAAAATATTTTGTATATTTTGCCGACCATAGTGTTCGTGCGACTAGGGTTTGAATCCCACCCGAGAAATGGATTTTGGTGTTATTCTGTGCAGGTAGGCGGCCTTGCAATTGACCGATCCCCCGGCTAAGGAGTCCTACAACTCTCCGAAAAATACGTAATAGTTCCTGACTTAATCTGAGGCAGAGGGCAAAGGAACAAAAATAATATATTTTTTTATTTTACGTGACGCGAGTTATGGGAGATATGTTTTATTGATGTTACCACAGCATTGTGTTACACAAGGCAATCTTGTTGCCGAAACTTTTGAGTCTGACCAAGCAGATCCTGGTTCGATAGGTCGTGCTTACTTGCTCTGTTCTCCAATATCACAACTACTGCCCTTCCGAGTCCATAAAATGCTAGTGCTTTCTTCAGTAGATAAGCAACTATCAGCTTTCAAAGACGAACTCATTACCATAAAATTACTGATTTAGGTGTTATTGTAAGAGAAATACACTAAAAAGTTGTCCCTGTGCTTAAATAATTAATTATGCTATGAAGACATATGGGGGAGTGGAGGTATAGCTCCACTCTTCTTAATCCCGTCACAAGATGCAAGCGAGTGGCCAGCTTCACGCCCTTGCTACTTTATCCCTGAGGAAAACACTGCGGGAACCATTGGATAGGACTCTGGGTGGGCCCAAAGCCAGTCTGGATGCTGTGAAGAAAAAAATAACTTACCCCTGCCGGGAATCGAACCTTGGCCATCCAGCCTGTAGTCCGTCCCTATAGCGACTAAGCTATCCCGAAAGAGAGATATTGCAAAACCCAAATGATTTATTTTTACACATAAAGGCATATACGTCATTTTTCTATTTTTGGCTATGAGATCAGTTTACTGGAAAAGCCCATAGACCCAAGATGAAGTTATTACAGAGAGAGGGGCCAACTTCCCCTCCCGTCCCCTCCCCCTTCCCTTAAGATGCAAACTTCAGGGAGGAGCTCAAGATGAGCTCGAAGGACGTGTGAGGCGGATCTTCCTGGATCAAAATCCTATTGCCACAATAAATGTGATAGAAAAATGTCAGGGAAGATCCTACGCTGATCCTAGCGTCATTTCTTTTCTGAATGTATTCGGCAAGAAGCACGATAGAACTATATATTATTATTTCTGGAAGGAAACGGATTACCTTTCTAATTTAAATAATAATAAATTAAGATGCAGTTGGATAATTTACACCATATAAAAATTATCAGAGACAGCGAGGGCGAAGCAGGAGCCAAATCATGCAAACAAAACTCCATTACACACGAACTCAGTAGGAGTTAAATATACACCGCAAAAAGAGCACACAGCTCACAATTTAATTGCACTGACTTCAGCAACTGTAACTTCAACACTTAACATCGCCCGCGCCATAGCTCAAGCGGTTAGTCACTGGCTTCCCACCGCGGCGGCACGGGTTCGATCCCGGGTCTGGTCAACTGGAATTTGTGGTGGACAAAGTGGCGCTATGGCCGCTTTTCACCCACTACTACGGTTTCCCCTGCCAATCTTCACTCCACCAAATTCTCCATCATCATAATCTCCACTCACCACTAAGCGAATTAAAGGAAAAAAACACTTAAAATACTGAGACATGACGCCTGAAAGCTGGATGTGTGCAGTCAGAAAAGCACAACAGAGACGTCTGTTGCTAGAAAACGGCTAGCTGAAGCGTTTCCGCTACAAGGAATACGATTGTATAAATCAAAGCGTTGCCTGGAGATTGCCACACGTTTCGTGGCAACAGAGAATAACAGAGGACAATGAACTGTCCGACTGGGTGTTCTATATTCGGTCCGCATGAAGTTATCTCAGTCCGAGATTCAAGGTTCGAGACAGTGGAGATCCAGAGAGAAAATTCGAGAAACTGAGTTACGGTAATTTTGTAAGGTTTGAGGTTTTCACAGCGGGGACTAAGAAGAATGACGTTTTCTGGGATGTGGCGCCGTGTAGATCTTGTGTGGACTGACGTTTCGGAGAAACGTATCGCGAGGAACCAGCTTGAGCAGGTGGCTGCAGACTGAGCTCAGCTACATCCCAGAAGAAGGTATTCTTAAATTTAAATTCTGTCTACATCATTATTAAAGTCTTCATTTTATTTCATCGAGGTTCTTAAAAAATAACTTAGTGTTCATCCCGTGCTACATGTTTCAAAATCCATGCCCAATTATATCTATCAGTCTTCACTATTAGGCTATTAACAAACGAAACAATCTCAGTTTCCTGTGCACTGTTGTCTACTAGGTTAATTCGATTTGTTTTTCCAGTCAATCAATGTCAACACCATTCAGTTATGTTAATAAGCAAAGATCTCGTTAGGGAAATAAGACCAGACAAATTAAGTTGCAAGATGAGACTGTAGGTTTTTGCCCGTCTGTCTGAGGCACGGAACCACCTGGTGCCCTCCAACTGATGTCTGCCTACACCTTTACATCCTCGCCTAAATTCTGCCTAACGAGATGTAATGATCTGTAATTGTGCCTAACGAACTTCTATGAAGAACAATTCGTGCCTAAAGTGATTCTATGGATTTTACCGAGATGCTACAGTCTGTAACTTGTACTTAACGTAATGCTACGAATTGTACCGAGATGCTACAGTCTGTAACTTGTACTTAACGAAATGCTACGAATTGTACCGAGATGCTGCAATCTGTAACTTGTGCTTAGCGAAATGCTACGAATTGTACCGAGATGCTGCAATCTGTAACTTGTGCTTAGCGAAATGCTACGAATTGTACCGAGATGCTGCAATCTGTAACTTGTGCTTAGCGAAATGCTACGAATTGTACCGAGATGCTGCAATCTGTAACTTGTGCTTAACGAAATGCTACGAATTGCAAATTGTGCCTACCGCGCTGCTATAGTGTAATATTTGTGGCCAGAAGTATATCAAAATTTCCAAGCATCGCCTAACTAAATTCCAAGGTTTTCAATTTCTGCCTAACGAGTTGCCATAATTTCCCTACTGTGCTTATTGAAGTGCTATGATCTACAGTTTATGCTTAACTATATTTTAATATTTGCGACTTGTGCTTAAATAAGTACTGTAATTCCCAAATAATTCTCATCGAAATGATTTATTTATAGAAACTGCTCATAGAAATGCTATGAGTTTCACACTGTTCCTATCCAATTACATATGAACACTGAGGTGTATTAAATTAAAAAATTTTCGATATGAATTAATTTTCGCATTAGTAGAAGCTCTTGACTTCCTTCTGAATTCCCGGAACTAGACTTGATTATAACCTATGTCAGAGGATGAAAAAGCCCAGTACAGAAGCCATTGAAAACCTTTTGTAATTTAAAATAAAACTGACCTTACTAGCAGGTTAGCCACACATATTTACATATTTTTTCACCCATGTACAAATGTGTGAACTCCCAGAATTCAAGCTGTGAACAAAACTTTCTCTCCAGACATGCACCTGTCCCTTTATTTATGGAAATATCGTGGCGCCTCCATTTTATTACGTGGCTATTTTAGTAACCACAATTTAAACGTTTAC